ACGGCCTACGGCCATCTCTCGACCAACTTAGCAAGTACTTCGACCAATTCTGAACCTAACTGAACTTGACATGAATATAATTACTAATTATGACATGCTGATACAACAAACACTCCATGAACATGAGAGGGCCGTGGCGGACGCCCGTGCGCCGCCGACGGCTATACGCCGTCTCTCGGCCGAACTTCACTTTTTAATCGACAACTACCAAACAACTCCACATGATTATTATACTGAAACAAATTAAGGCTTAATCACACGGACAACATGATTAATACTGAAGGTAACAACTCTCGGCCCGAAGCCACCCGAGGCCACGCGCGATAGGCGCGGGCGTCGGCTGGGGCCATTTCATCGGTTATACTTCATCTTGCCTCGACAAAACTGATCATAATGAACATGAAATAATCTAAACTGAATATATAGACATCAACAGGTCGAGAGTTGCCGGGAAAAATCGGAAGTTGTTCGGTAATAAAATTACTTAGACATAATCGGACCTAAACACGGTTTTATCTGAAATTCCGACAATAAATCGAACACTTAATCTAGGAATAACCTAATTATCATGAACATGAGCTGAAGAAGAAGGTACCTTTCCGATCGGTCGACGGAAATCGGAAACTAGGGCGTGATCCCTTCGCCTCACTTGCCCGTGCGATTACTCAAGCTTGCCGTGCGTGCTTATCAGAAAATTTTTGAGAGAACTACTTGGTTTAAATTGCTGATTTTATAAGGGATATAAGCTGCTGAAAGGGAGGAGTTATATGCTGAATTTGCCTTAGTACGAAAATGAGGAAAAATTCATCTAAGTTCTTCATTATGTACTTGGCCGTGTGGGGTGGAAAAAAATGACGCAAGAGTAACGTGGCTTCATCAAAATCTCACACTTGCAAGCTTAATTACATAAGATGGGATGATTAATCACCTCCAAGTTTTGTCACGTATTATGTTCAATTAGAGGAGGAAAATGATTTCCTTAATAAAGAGGAAACTCACGGCATTAGTAAAATTTAGGGAAAAATGGCTCTAACTTGTACGGATTTTTAAGCTTAGATTAGGATATTTCCCATGCTTAACTCTTTTAACGTGATTAATTAAAAATTAATCACTAACTTTTATGTTTAATCCTTAATTAAACATAATGCTTAATTACCAAAATTATTTCAAACGTAAACGGTACGTCGAAAATATATTTCGGTAATTCCGACTGAACTTAATTAATTCCGAAAATAATAAACTATAACGTTATTATATCGGAACTAAAACGTAATTTATACCGATAAAATATCGGGATATTAAAATCCTCCCTCCTTACAAAATTTCCGTCCTCGGAAATTTCAAAACATAGCTGAATACATGAACTAGATACATAAGATAAGGAAATATGTACATCAAAACTGAAAGTCTGGGAAACGAGCGCGAATGTCCGACTCTTCCTCCCAGGTAGCTTCGTGGCGATCCCACTGAATGCGCACGAGGGGGATATCTCGCTTCCGGAGCCGACGGACCTGACGGTCTAGTACAGCTACCGGTCGCTCCTCCTACGACAAATCTGGCTGAACCTGAATATCCGTGTGAGGGATAACATGATCGGGGTCGCACACGTACTTACGAAACATAGATGCGTGAAGTACATTATGAATGCCTGATAACTCGGGAGGTAGGGCTAGATGATACGCGACCTCACCTACTCGCTCGAGAACCTCGAACGGACCTATGAAACGAGGGTGTAGCTTCCCTCTC